TAAAAAGTTTTATATATTTTCAATAGTCTTTCCATGTGTACCAATATCAACAAAGATCTGGAAAGTAGGAGTACCTTTAAAAAAAACTATATGTAATTTATAAACATTTTCAAGTTTGTTTTAAAATTTATTATGTGGTTTTACTAGATCTATTTAGAGTTTTTTCAGAAAACCTATATTTTGGAACTTCAGAAATTGATTTTAGTTTAGACTGCATGTTTTATAAGTGAGTTAAGTGTCTTTAGATATTATCAGATAATGGAATTATGAATATATTCCTTTTATTGGAGTAAAGTTTTATTGCTATAAAGGTAGCATTATTCATTAACTCACCCAGCACTAATTGAGCACCTCCGCCATGCATCAGGTAAGCATTGCATGTTTAGCCAGGTATACACACAGTGATAGTACAGTGGGATAGGTTGAGTGGTAGATGTCTTCACAAAGAGCAGAAAGGAGGGTGTCCAAGCTGGAAAAAGTTTCCTGGGAGAGATGACCTCCAAACAAAGTCGGAATATATAAGAATTTACCTTAAATATACTTTGAGTTTATTCTAGACCTTCATTTGCCAAGAATTTCTTCTTGGCAAGTTCTCTTCTTTTCCTAAAGAAATTCTATGCCTTGTGGTCACCAATGAGCATCAAGGTGATAGAGCAATCACATTTAAGTTTATACTGGAGAGAGGGAGGGAGTAAAGATGGTAGGTACATACACAAGCAATAACGTTTATTTTGCACAATTGGTATGTTATGAAAACTGAAATAAAATTAAATTGCTATCAATTCGACATTTAAATGTGCAGGAAGAGTTAACATCTAATAATTATATTATGCATAGTGAACTTGTTTATACCCTGGAGCAAAGTAATAAGAAATAGAGGTTCGATTCCTACCTTCTAAAGGTTTAAGTATGGAAGCAGAAATAGGATATATTCTTATACAACATTTACATAAAATTCTAGCACCTAGCACAGCGCCTGGCATGTGGGAGATTCTCAAACATTATTGAGTAAATGAATGTATTAATGGGTGGTACAGGCTGCAAGTGCTCTAAGGATCCAGAGAGATGACAGGTCACTGTGGGCTGGAACAATAAAGAAAGAAAAATTGGGTAAGATAAAATCAGGAAGTTTGGGTGGTGTCAGATGGTTGGCACACTCTTCTGCTAGACGTAAGTTCAAGGAAAGGGACTGTATATTTTTCATATTCCTTGCACAGGGTCTGGCACATAGGATGGGATCAAATAAGTATTTGTTGACTACCTTACAGACACAGAGGGACAGGCTGGCTGATTGGTGGAAAGCTTCAAAAGCTAGCTCCAGTACCCTTCTCTTCAGGCAATGACAAAATCGATGTTTTAGGCAAATCCAGCTGTAACTGGAGTACAGAATGTCAGATATAATGGAAGAGGCACAAGTACAGTTTGGAAGTTCTTACAGGTAACAGGAGGCTGGGAGAGAACTGGGCCAATGAGAGCAGCTGGGAATGGGAGGAAGTGATGCTTTTAATAGTACTGTGAAGAACGAATAGCTGAGAGTTGGGTTTCCCCTCTTTCAGGGTCCCTAGAAGCAGAGCCTGAGATGGGGAGTGCTGTGCAGGGGGCTTAGTGAGGGAATACTCTTAGGTGAAGCCTGGAAGGGAGTGGGGGAAGCAGCAGACAGTAGAGGAAGAAGCTTGGCCAAGCCTTGTTTTGAGCTGAGGTTAGCCCCAGTCTGGAGCGGGAAACACACTGCAGAGTTGGGGACACACCACCAAGAGTTGCCCCTCCTTGAGGCAAGGGACTGGCTGTTGTGTCCCCCAGTCAGTCAGTCCCTGGCGGTGGACTGCACCTCTAGGCAGCGGGGAAGAAAGAAGTCATCACCTCCTAGGTGGTTCCCGGCTCGGTGGCTGGAGAAGGGTGCAGCTGTGAGGTGTCAGTGGCTGGGACTCATAGCAGGTGGAGTTGGGTATACTAGCCCAAGGTGAAAGGAATATGACGGGTGAAGGGTACCACCAGCGTCATCTACACTCTGCTATAGTCTGTTCTTCATACAGGGCCCTGCTGAGAGCCGTCGGATTGCTTCCCCTCACTTCCAGAATAAAATCCAAACCCTGTATCCTGGCCGCCACAATCTGGCCCCTTTCTGCATACAAATTTATTTTTCTTTCTCAAACACGCCAAGCTCACTCTCACCCCAGAGACTTTGTGCTTGATTTCACTCTGCCTGGAATGAGCTTCCCCCAGATTTTCATGACTAACTTCTGATCCTAGAGGCCTTTCTACCCAGATGTCACCTCTTTAGAGAGGCTTTTCATGGTCTGTCTCACCCCGAGAGGCTGTGATCTGCACGAGCTATTCTGTCCTGCTTATAGTTGTCACCCTGGTACTTTGACGAGTGGACACCCAACAAATATCATTGACTGACTAAGCACCTAGCTGAAGAGACATGAATGGGAGGTAAGGGTCCAAGACTCTCTGAGACAGTGGATAACATCGATAGAGTTAAGAAATGTGAAGTGTGCATGCATTTGTGGGGAAAGATGTGAGATTTTGTTTTAGATATATTGAATTTGAGATAATGGCAGAAAATATATGGTAGAGATGGAATAGTGTAGTGACTAGGGGCACAGTTTCTGGAACTAAATTCACAGCCCGGTGCTGCCACGTACCAGCTGCAAGATCTTGGGCAAGTTGTTTAACTTCTCTTTGCCTCGATTTCCTCACTTATAAATGAGGATAATGATGTTATCTACCTCGTAAAACTGCCGAGAGGACTATGAGAGTCAGTACCTATACATCTCATAAGAGAGCATCTTGCTAATCGTAAGCATTATTTTAATGGAATTTGAGGAGTTTCGCATATAAAAGAGCCTAGTGGAAGCCAGGGCTGGGCCGAGGGTGGGCAAGTGGAGCACCTACGGGATGGAACTTGAGGCGCTCCCCGGGAGGGTTGCGTCCTGGCACCACCTCAGTGTGCACCCTTAAATGTTGCATTTTTGGCCCTTCACTTGCCTCACTCTAATTCTGGCCCTTTTCTAGGTATTCAGAGGGGAAAAACGGTTATGGGTAAGATTCTCTAAGTCTCAGCACCTGTATCACCTGCTCCCTCTGGCCTCTGTTTCTCGCTGTTGCTAATCTGGGGGTTGCCTCTCTGTCGACCGATTGCTTCTTGGTCTTTTCCATCACTTACATAACCAATTCTCTGCGGTCAGTCCCCTCCACTCAAATGCTCTGAGTAGGTTCTGTTTTTCTGTTTGGACCTTGACTGATTCAATGGTTAATATACTCTAATGCTCCCTAATAAGCATAGGATTTCAGGGACCTGTGGGAAGAAGCCAACGTTTACAGAGTAACTCCTATGTGCTAGGTACTTTAACATATAAAATATTTAAGCCTTATCTGGTGGCAGAATGGTACTCACTAGATACTTTGTAGAGGAGAAATTAGAGATGCTGGGTGGGATAACTCATTTAGGGTAACGAACTAACATAGCTGAGATTCAAACCTGGTTTTCAGGTTTATAACCTTTCCACTGTTCAGAGCATCCGTGGAACATTCAGATTATGGGTAAACTCCTATGAAATGACAAGAATTTATTAACTTTTATTCCCTAGTGAGAGCTTTTTAAATTTTATTTTCAGAGATACTGTTAGTTTTCTGTAAAAATATGCTCTCTTCTTAAAGCTTAAGCATGTCTATAATTTGGTTTGCTTTATTCTGCAAGTTTTGCTCATATTTCTGCCTACTGGATATGTGTGTATGCTCTTGTGTGTGTGTGTGTGTGTGTGTGAGAGAGAGAGAGAGAGAGAGAGAGAGAGAGAGAGAGAGAGAGAAAGAGAAAGAGATTGAGAGAGAAATCAAGAAAGAGGTATAGAAAGACAAGTGTTTTTGTTTTTTTAATATTTAATGTAGCCATTCTGGGACTTGAAAATTATTTGCAATGACTTGCTCATATTTCACATCAATACTAGTAGATTCTATTGTAAAGTACTACTACTAGCTCAAAGAGGCCATGCTGCTTTCAAGGTAAGTGCTAATAGAGATGTGTTATTTTGAAATTTGGGTAAACAAATACAGCTATTTTCAGTTATATGCAAATAAATTTTATTTCTCTCGTTAGGACACATAAAGAGCAGATGAGAGAGGGCTCACTGCATTTTTGTATTTCTGTGAAAATAAAATATAATCTAAAATAAATTGAACGCACAAATAAAATAAATAACTCAGGTGCAAATTATTTATTTATGAAATGAAGCCTTTTGAAAAGAAAGGAATGCTGACAGCAGTTTAGTATGCAATATTCCACCCTTCTGTTCTTACCCTTACATTTTCAAAGTCATACATAGTAATTTAGTTGCACTCCCATTAATATTAGTGGGAGTTTTGAAACTTAAATTTCTGCATGCATCTTTGAAGACGTATAGGTCAAAGTAAACTGTTAATGCAGAACTGGTTTTCATTTTTAGTGGAATAGTTTGAATCTCTCTTCAAAAATGTCCTAAAAGGCACCTTCATGCTAATCACAAGGGAAGGATTATGTATAAGGTTACTACTTGGAGGTCATCATCTTTAGAGCAACATGGCTAATAAATCATATTAAAGAGAAAAAAGTGTTTTCTCAGCCCTAAAGAACACAGAAGTTCAGGACCTGTGTGTTGAATAGTAAGCTAAGGACCTTGGACTCTTTCAGTGGACCCTTTCAGCCCAGTGCATGTGCTCAGTGATAGAAGCATGCTAAGGTGAATTTTAATTAGGACTAAATTGTGGTATTACTCTTTCATACCCTGAACATCTGTTCCCTTCAGAAATGATGATTTATGCAGGCTATCAGAGCAGACAGCTTGCTACAGCTTATGTCACGGTTAGTGGGAAGCTGGTGGTAGCATTTCAGAAAACCAGCATCTAAATGGAGACTGGCCAGTGTATATGATATAGGGAACAGGGGGAGGGGAAGCATGAATGTGTCCATTTTTAATTTTGAAGCCAAATATTGACTTGACTTAAAAAAAATTCTCTTCTAGACCATCTGTCGTTAATGAAGAAAGTAACTTGGACAATGAATGGGCTGATGTTTCCTACTGAAGTCAAGAAACGGAAAACCAAGCCTGTTCTTTCTGTTAGAATGAAGAAACTTACTGGGAAGACCTCAGTCCGAATTCTGTTCTTTAAGAACGGCATGGGGCAAGATGGGCATGAGATTACAGTGGGAAAGGAAACAATGAAAGAGGTAATTTTGTATCAAATACTGAAGTATAAATTAAATTTCAAAGTTTTTATGGCTTTTTAAAATGTGCTTTTTTCCTTCTAAATAGCAATGTCAACTAATGAAATATTAAGAGGATATTATATAGAACTCAAAAATCCAGCTTCTTAGAAGTATGCTTATTATACTAACAACATAAATTACCTTGGGTAATGCAACAATATTTCAGGAAATTATTTGGCTAACAGAGCTGGTCATTTACCTAGTAAAAGTTATGTTTACATTTGGTGAAACATTCTAGTTGGTTACAGTATTTCATAGACTATTTAGATGGAAGCTAATCTAATTTAGCTTCAAAAGTCAGACCTACACCTTTTCATTTAGTTAGAAATAAGACCTAGAAGCACCCCTGATCCTCGAAAGAATAAGTAAAGTCTTAAATAACTAGGATTCAGTTAAAGGAACCATATGCATTTTTAAAAGCAAATCTTATGGGCCTAAATCATGTAACAATCAAACTTTAAAAAACAAATTTTAAAGTAGCACTTGTTACATATATGCATGTTTTTTAGAAAGTGCTTATACCTTCCAGATCATCTTTTATATTAAAAAGTATGGAAGAACTAATGGGAATTTGAAAAAACTTTTTTTTTTTACAGATAAGGACCTTTCAACCTAATAATAAAAAAAATAATATTTATTAAGTATATATTAGAGATTAAAATATAACGAAACTGTCTTGGTTTTAATCTTGTCTTCATCATTCACTGTCTCTGAGTCCTTGGACAACTTAACTCCTCTGAGTCTCTATTTCTTCATCTAAAAAATGGGCTAACAGTAATGCCAAACTCATAGAATTGATATGAGGATTCAATGTGACATTATTCATGGACTACAATGCCTGGCACCCAGAGAGTTCCCAATAAATATTCGCCATTCTTATCTTTAGGACTCATAAATAGTTAGAAATCTAACACTTAGAAAGTATTTTTCTTACTAATGGGAAATATTTATTATGAAATCAAGACAGGTGTAAATCATTTTGTTATACCAGGTTATTTTTTATTTATTTTATTTTATTAAGATGTTATATAGTTCAATGTTTATTTTTTAAATGTGCCTTTTAAAATTTGAGGTTATATAGTTCCTCTATATTCTTTTTTAATTTTATTTATCTTTATTATTGAAAATATTACAATTGTCCCCTTTTTTCCTCTCCATTGATCCCCTCCACCCAGCACCCCCTCGCCCCCCCAGGCCTTCCCCACACCGTTGTCTGTGTCCATAGGTCATGCATATATGCATCTAAGTTCTTTGATTCATCTCTCCCCACACTCCTCACCTCCACCTTCCCTCTGAGATTCATCAGTCTGTTCCATGCTTCTATGTCTCTGGATCTATTTTGTTCATCAGTTTATTTTGTTCATTAGNCTATTGCCTGTGTCCATGGGTTATGCATTTATGTGTATAAGTTCTTTGATTAATCTCTCCCCCCCACTCCCCACCCCCGCCTTCCCTCTGAAATTCATCCGACTGCTCCATGCTTCTGTATCTCTGGATCTGTTTTGTCCATCAGCTAATTTTGTTCATTAGATTCCACATATGAGTGAGATCATGTGATACTTGTTTTTCTCTGACTGACTGATTTCAACTGCTTGAAACAGATGAAGAGCTGACTAGATATTGGAGATTTTCGTTATCAATGTCTTTTTTCCTCACCTGCTTATCTTTGTGGTTGTGTTATAACCACAGCTGGGTAAGAGCATCTCCTGAGAAGCTGGGGAAGTAGGTGTTGTGTCCTTCTTATCTGCAGATTGGGGTTATGAGTAAAACAAGGGATATTACACACCAGAGCAGATTGCTAAGGCAAGTTGTAACATCTTCCCTGGGGATTTTGGAAAATAGAGAAGATGGACGTATCCCTTGGGCTGTTAAAATGCAGTCGCTCCTGGAGATAGACGCTAGATTAGATAACCTCTCGAGTCCCCTTCAGTCCAGTCTCTGTAATTCTATGCCTTGGTGGTAAAATTGGGGTAATGGTCACAGATTACATGTTCTTAGATGAAAGGTTGAGTGTAAATAAAAATGTTACTGCTGTTTTGCTTTTTGGCTGTAGAGAGCAATTTACTTAAAACTGGATGATCAAGACATTCTTTAGTTTATTTAGTTTTTCTTTTTACAATTTGTAGAATTTAAAGAATTTTTACAAATTATAAAACTCAGGGAATGATTCAATAATAACTATATTTGTAAATATCTATCTAATTTTAAAAATGAGGTAAAGGAGAGGAGGCAACAGGATGTTGGCCTCGGGTGTCAATAGAACGTTTTGGAGGGAAAAAATAAGGCTAAGCTAATTATTTGGTAAATAACAATTTAAATTTTGAAAGTTTTGTTGATAATCACAGGATAATGCGCTATTTATAGACTTAATACCAAATCCGTAATAGGAACAAGTTGGCATACTCATAGGAGAAACACAAATTATTTTCTCTTTTATAATAACACAATAGGAATGTTGGGACTAATAGCTATTTTTAGATTACTAAAATTTTTAAACAGTAATTTAGATTATTTAGAAATTTTACATCACTAAGTACTATAAAAATGAAGTAGAATGTAAACCTAATATGGGGAAGGTTATTACAGTGGGATAAGGAGAGAATCACTGAAGATTGTTGGTAAAATAAGGTAGTTAAAGCATAAAGTCTCCTCTGAGCTCAGAATGGAGCCAAGGGGAAAAGACTGTATTTCAGTCCTAAGTACAAAATCAAAAAGATTTGCACACCCCACTTTGGAAAACATAGTTTCAAGCTACTCGAATGGGAACAGAATACTCCCTTTTCTCACCCGAAGGCAACACAGACTTATTGCAGGCAAAGATCTGCAGCGTTTCTTAAAAGTATGGTCGACAGATCACCTGCATCAGAACCATCTCGGCTCCGTGCTAAACATTCAGGCTGCTGGGTCCCACTCCAAGCCTATTGAATTAAGAATCTCTTGAGTTTGGGGCCTGAGAATTTGAATTTCAACAGATGTCTCCGGATGATTTCTAGCCTGACTAAAGTTTGAGAGCTCTTGTTCTAGTGTTCTAAATATCAAACTTACTAATTTATGGAAATCTTCATCTATTTCTTTGTTTGTTCTCTTATACCACTGACTGCTAGACTAGAACTAGGGCAGGGAGCTCAGAAACCAGGGAGAGGAACATGTCTACAGTTAGCAGGAAGGGAGTGGCCTATGTGTAGCACGTGTGACTTAGAAAACATAAATATTCCCTCAATATTTGTATATGAGCATACTTTGTTATAATGACTTTTTTCTGTTATTACTGAAAAACCACATAAATAGAGAGGAAACTATTCATGTATGACTGTCATGGTATAAATAAATAATAGACTTTTTCAGCTGCCTTTAAACTAGAAGAAAATCTGGACATAGAAATTGAGAAGCACATAAAAAGGTATTCTATTATTAATCATCTTAGAATGCAAATTAAATCCACACTGAATTACCATTATACACATTAGCATGGCTAAAATTTAAAAAAGGCTGACAATACTAAATATTGTAAATCTAGATATTATAAATATTGTAAATAGTGAAAATTGGGAGCTACTGAAAGTCTCAGGTATAGCTAATGAGGAAGTCTAGCTAATTGCAAACCAATCTGGCAATTTCTTATAAACATACTCCTACCATACATTCTAGCAACCCTTTTCTAGGTACAGTAAGTTGTCAATGTCATTGATAGCTCCTGGGACTTGAAGAGAAACAACATGAAATTTAAACCGATTTTACCAAAGGCTAATTGATAGAAACAAGAGTTAAGTTTTTAGGGCATCTCATCAAGTTATAATGTTGAACAAAATTATGTTATTTGAGGACCTGTTGAATTTACCCATGAGAAATAATATATGTCAATACAAAGACTTCTAGGTAAATGTTCAGAGTAGCTTTATTTATGATAATCCAAAACTAGAAACAACCCAAGAACATCCATCAATAAAGTGAATGGATAAACACATTGTAATATATGTTCATACCAATGATTGCTCTTCAGCAATAAAAAGGAACAAACGTTGTGATAAATAAAAGCAGCCAGATACGAAACCTGGCACGCTGTATGATTCCATTTATATGAAACTGTAGGGCAGACATAACAGTGGTTACCTGGGCCAGGAGTGCTGAATTGTGTTTGGGAAAGAGCATGAGGAATTTTGGAGAGTGGTGGATATATTCTTTATCTTGATTGTGGTGGTGGCTACACCAATGCCTTTTTCTACCTGCATTGAATGGTGCACTTAAAATAGATACAGTTTATTTCATGTAAATTATACATCAAAATAGTAGATTAAAAAGCAAACAAAAACAAGGTTAGAATTACAGAAATGAAAAAGTAATCTGGGCTATTTAATTATTCTTAAGAAGAGATCAGTTAAGTATAAAATATCCAAGGAGAATGTATTAATAGATTATTTAGAAAATCCCCTCTGGTTATCTACTTCTCATTCACATTTTAATAATAAAATGCCAGAACACCTACATTTCAAATTCACAAGAAATAATTGCTTTTACAAATCATAGTCATGTTCATTACTAGTAAGAGCAAGTAACTAGGTTTGGTGTGCATTCTATCATTTACTCTTATGAGAATAAGATAAGTAACAGCCAGTAAATTTATCTCCAGGATTTATTCAGAAAAGTACCTTTATGCTACTTAATAAGATGGGTATAAATTCAACCCCATCTCCTGGCATCTTCAGGTTAAAATAACAATCATAATTTTTATTGTTAGTCATTTTAAAATGTTGGTCTTAGCAGAGAGTTATGCCAAGTACATTTTATTACATTTTAATTCTTTTAAAATTCATAATGTATTTGACAGTCTTTCAGTTAGCAAAATAAAAGTTTATAAAAACAGATTAACTTTCTCAAAATATTCATGGTAAACTGTAGTTAGCTTTTACTGGACAAGTATAATTAATTGCCAATGGTGGAATATTTTTAGTAATCCAGTGAGT